GTACATACGAGTGAAAAACATCACTCGTTCAATGAAAGTAATAATTATGGGGGTCGTCTCATAACAGCAAATAACAATTGCAATTTCAATATTTCTAAAGGTAAATGCTACAACATAATATAATGACTGGTATTATGGTTTTCGGTCATATGATGTTGAATAAAAATCATAAAAATAATCCTGAACAGGCATGCACTGATTCCATCTTTATCTCAGTGAAATTTAGGAATGAATGGCATACAAATATAACTTTAGAATAAGAAGACAGAGTTATAGTTAAATACAATTAACAACTAAATTGTACCCGTTACAATAAGTATCGACAGATTGTAAGACCATGAGTGTACATATGTGTATAGCAATAATTTTTTGTTTTATTTTTATTTAAATCAATATTTATACAAAATAAAACAATATTCAAAGATCTAATTATAGTGTTGTATCGGTAACTTAACCTTTTAAAACAATTTAATTTAAAGGATCGATAAGTTTACCCGTATCGTATCTAAATTTACTGGCTCGGTAATCAACATAATCGTAAAATTTAGGATGTACTATCCCGTTTGTATTAAGTACAGGCAAACTTCCAAACCAAATCTTTGTATATATGAAAGAATCCTGACAAGTAAATGCTTTTAGTCACTTGAGGTAACCAAAATCCCTGACTTTAGGCAAAGTGTACGTAATTAACTAATCCACATTTTTTTTTTAGTTTTTACATATGGATTCTGCTTGTAAAAATACACCAGAAAATAAAATAAAAAAAGGAGGTAACCGTTTTCGTTTTTTCAATACAAGCTGTTGAAATTAACAGCATGATACGCCAAAAATACAAAGAATATATAGGAAAAATCATAACAATCGGCAGATATTTTTTACTTTAACAAAATTTTCTAATTCGTTGGTCAACAGAATTTAAAAAAAAAATCGATATACGATTCTAAAATGAACGACGAATCCATTGGTGCAAAGAAAGACCTTAGCAACCGTGCTAGTTTTCAATCTATATCCTGTGGAAGTTTAATTTTTAGCAGAAAAGATAAAAATATATTCGGCGACGTTATGGATGTCTACTTTAACGTCACCACATCTTCTATTTTTTTAAATTTTTAGGATATTTCTGCTGCCAAAGAAAAAAGCAAGTTGGTAAAATAAATATAATGCAAGTGAAAGAAAGTTACTGTAAAGACTTTAACACTTTTCTAAATTAAATCTTTTTGAAATGCTTGCGTTTTCCTTATTTCTATGAATCTAATATCGAGTTTGAAATTGTCCCGGTTAACACAGCGTTGACCGAATGATTCAATACATATTTAAATAACCGGTTATAATATTGGGATCGCGTATACACGTCTTTTTTTAAATCTTATTTCTGCATGTTTTTATTTAAAAAAAGTAAATATAATTTTCTGCATCTATTCATCCTCACCAATTTCCTGTCTCGATCGCTTTCCCTTTTCTTTAACTATGATGTTTGCTGGAGTTTCTGTAACAAAGGAAATAATTTCTTGTACCAGTTTTTGTTAAATATCCACATGGACGACTACCAAAAAATAAGAAAACTGCATCTGCAGTTGTCTTGAGAATTTTTATGGCTGTAACAAGGTCAAAAAAAAAGAACCCGAAAATGAATTTCAGCAAATAAAACAGATCGGAGTTTTTGATATAACTTTCCGTAGCTCCGATCGTTCCCAGTGTTATGCCTTAGCATTGTGTATATTACAATGTTATAGCATTGTGTAAAGTGTAATGCTAAAGATATGCTATAAATGTACTGGTGTAATGCTATAAATGTAACGCTATAAGAATGTACCAAGGGCGATGTTATGAGAATGTATTCATCCAGTATGATGCTAAAAAAAATGTATATACCTTGTGTAATTTTATAAGAATTTTATTAGAATGTACCTAGTGTAATGCAAGGTGACTGTGCAGTTTACCTAGTGTAGTGCCATACGAATTGTGCCTGTATATAATGCAAATGAATTGCTTGTTTGTTAACATAAGATAAAAATGAGTAAATTGCAAATGAGACAACTATCTGCCACAGTTTAAGGTAGATTGGATGTCATTTTTGTGAGCGTGCGTTCTGTTCATGTTGCAAAAATACTTTTTTGTTTTAAAAATATTTTGCCAAGTATCATTCAATATACGACAAAATAACTAGAAATTGAAATTTAAAGATTGAACTATCAAAAAATTAAGTGTCGTAAAGTATATTTAAAATTTTTGGGGATTTTTTCAAGAAAATAAGACCCGTGACCCCTTATTTTTATTTTATATTTCAGAAGTATTAATGAAAAGTAATTCTCTCATCGAATTTTAGCCAATTTTATCGTTTAATGTTTCTTCGATAAAGAAAAATTAAGCTACCCTTAAACAAACAATATAAAATAACCAAAATTTCGTTAATTTCAATGTATTATTTCGAAAAAACAAGGTCCTTGATCCCCAGTTTTTATATTGAAATTTGAAATTACATTGACCCAGAAGTCTTTTACAGAAATTTGAGACAAATCTATCGTCAAACATTTAGACATTCCAGTTACCTTAAATAAAGTGGACGTAAGCAATCATTATAGGCAACCATACGGCCTTCAACAATGAGAAAAAATCATACCGTATAGTCGGCTATAAAAGGCCCCAACGTTGTATACATTATTTTCTTCACGCTCTCCCCCTTCTTCCCGTTACCATTTACTATATTCTATCGTAATCTTCAATTGACAATTGGGAAGAAAATTTTACTTCAAAATGGTATTCACTACATCTGAATGATACAGAAAAAAAAAAGGTTCGATATCTAGATGTTTTAAAATACATAAAAAGACAGATCTAGCAACAAAGAAGACTTATAATGCATATCAAATAAGAAAAAAAATACCTTTATTTTGATACGTTCATCAACGAAAAAGAACATTAAGAAACCTATAACGTTAAAAGTTTTTACATTTTACCTTGGAAAATGTGATATTTGAAATATTGCGTCCAGTATTTGGACGATAACTAACATATTCTTAGTTCATTTTTTCATTTCAGTGAAAACTAGTATACTGTACATGCGTTAAAAAATTGAAATGAGCAAAAAGAAATAAATAGAAAATACATAAAATTTTTGTTCCATTGTCAAGATACTTTTGTAATATTTTTTTAATATTAGAATGTGTAACATTACAGATTCATTGTTGAGCAAATTTATTTATATTTGTATAGATTATTTTTATAATCGCAATGATTCTCTTCTTTATTTCAGAGGAAAATAAAAAACTTAAACCAGAAGGTAAGATATATGTAGTTATAAAAACAAATTTTTTTAAAAGGCCAGCTAACGTGTAGAGCGTTATGAACAAGAAATTAGGTTTTAAAAGAAATTACAGAATAAAAAAAGGTTCGATATCAAAATGTTTTAAAATACATAATCAGACAGAAGTAGCATCAAAGAAGACTTTAATGCATGTTGATTAAGAAAAAAATATATTTACCAAATGCCTTTATTTATTACTAGTAAATTTAGTTTATTCAGTTTCAAGAATAAGGGGAATGCTCTTGTAGAAATGCATTTTTGATACGTTCATCAACGAAAAAGAACATTAAGAAAGTTTTTTCAATGAACCTTGGAATATGTTATGTTTGAAATATTGCGTCCAGTATTTGGACGATAAATAACATTTTCTAAGTTCATGTTTTCATATCAGTGACTCATGTAAAATCTGAAAAACCACAAGGTATGATATCTTTTGATCAATCAAAGATTTCAGGGTTTTCTTTTAACAATGTGCTTTTTCCATTTTTTTTGTAACTCGGTTATTCAAATGAAGCGTAACAACGACAAAAATGTCAACATAATTACATGTTTATTATAAAACTGAATGAAAAAACGTTATCAAATTGATGAATAGAAAGTCATAGTACCCAAATTGCACCGAGTACAGAAATTGCACACATTTAGCTAAAAAAGCAGCTGGAATCTTCCAAGTTTTCTTAGAGACTGAACAATTTGTATTTTAATGATTTGACATTATGCACGTCTTTCAACAAAGCTTAATATATCTAAATATACACAAAATGTTCACAGTATATATCAACAGATGAAGTATCCAATGTAAAAAGTAACATCTGCGGAAACGAGGTTAACAAAAAAATCGATTTTTAAAAATGAGCAATTAAAATATTTTACAGACATCCATTTCTTAAAAAAATCAATAGTATTGTCACATTGTTCTAAATACTTGGAAAACAAAACACCAGTTATTCGATGTTTACGGTTGTGGATTTAAGCATTGATTGAGTACGCCTCATTACAGAATCATGGAGGTTTGTCAACCCAATTTTTCTATGATTCAATATAGATTCAAAATTAAATTAATATCCTATGGCACGCCGTCTCGTCAAGCAGTTGGATATATTAGTGTTTATGGAAATGGGTGGCATCTTAATAAGCTTGTCTTTTAATTTCGACCACTTAAGTCCCATAACTCTGGAACAACAAATCTGTAATATTTAAAAGAATAGACATAAAGGGCCATAAGTCGATGAAGGACGGTAAACATCAAGGCCAAAAAGAATGGACAAACCGAGAAAAAAATAGCCTACAAAACATGCACAGAAAAATAAAGATAGTGCAAAATAATCTTCAACAAAAGTCACGGGTAAAACGCAGTGATGTTAAGGCAATTTCGATTAGATTTGGTCAGGGGCAGATAACCGCGCAGGTACCTCATTATGTATTCATATATTCATTAATGGCGGAGAGTACCTAAGCTGCCTCTATCGATAAAACTGTATGAAATCAAATTACATACATGCCTGTTATTTAAAAACAGGTATCCATATGGTGTAATTTGTTTACTGAAACACGAATATTCTATGTTTGTGCTTTAATTATTATTGTAAACGGTTGCAATAGCTGTTTTTTGTGCCGAAATTGTCGGCTTGTGGACACCGCCTCCTTTTGATGATCAGCCAATCAGTAGACGATCGTCGTCGAACAGATGTTTGTAGTTTGCAGAATGGAAAACACCTTGCAGCGGAAATTATTTTCACTTCTACGTGAAAATCTAGCCAGAAAAGTAAGTGTAAGCCACCAAATATGTAAAATTTATGAAACATACGTTGCTTGTTCTGTTAATCATTCGCTTCAGAAGGCGAAAAAACGGCACAGTATTAGATAAAACGAGTTCAGTGTTGGCAAGCATGTTATACACGTGGTCAAAACGAAACTAGACTGCAAAAAATATCTGAAATTTGAATAATGTATCGAGTCCCGTCAGTAAATGAACAGAATATCGAATGAAACAAGTTCCCTGCATTATACCAAGAGCCAATTCTCAACATTTACCCTGGAATTCATTTCTAATTAACGTTTTGCAGGTATCCTGGTTGGGTACATCTGTAAAGTTTGCTCCACCGTTGACTTCCGTCCGGAGCCCACGTTGCTGGAGCCATGATCCCTTCCTTCAAATCATGGAGCCCTTAATTTGAAGCTTAGGGCACAAAAACTTGCTCAAACGAACCCTGAACACGTAATTTGGAGATCGGTCACATATGGTGTAACCCCCCCCCCCCCCCCCCCCCCCCCCCCCAACCAACCAACCAACCAACCTAACCAATTCAAATGTAAAGTCCATAGTATAATATTTTCTGCCGAGTGCTGACGGTATATTTCAACTTTGAATTTTATAGATCCCTACTTGGAAGTTTACAGCGTTTATATACTTGTTGGTTATAAAATACATGTACTCATGAGAACAATTTTGAACATGATAGTCTAATTTGGCAAATGATATTATTTTTCTTGAAAGGCTTTGTAAATGATTTACTGTGACACTTCCTATGACCGTCATTCTAAGGAAGGAATCCCAGCAAAAAATTAAGGAAGCCTCTCATGACACAATAATAATAGACTTATTGATATCATGACTGCCCACGTTGACATAATCTTTTTAGATATGGTTATCATCAGTATTAAAATGAAAAAGAGCACTGCTTGCATGCTGATGATGTCTTGCGTCACAGTACCCAAATTGCACCTATTTAGCAAATCTTACAAGTTTTCTGAGAGTAAATAATTTGTATTTTTTAAAATTATTTGACATTATGCACATTTTTCTAATACATGTAGGTAAATATATTTAAATATTCACAAAACGTTTACAGTATATATCAACAGATGAAGTATTCACTGGAAAAGTAAAATCTACGGAAACATCAGCATGCGACGTCCACAAAAAGTCATCTTTTAAAAATGAGCAAATAGAATATACGTATTACGCCATACGAGTATTAGTTTCTTAAAAATTGAATAGCAAGCATGGACTTAAATGTCAATTTGTTCTAAATATTTAAAAAAATAAAACAGAACATCTGTTATTCGAATTTCAAGGATAGGAATTAAAGCATGGATGCATTTTGGGTACTCCTCATTGCAGAATCATGGATTGTTTGGAGGTCGGTTTTAACCCATTTTTCTATGATTCAATATGGATTCAAAATTAAATTGGTGAAACTAAATAGTAAATAAGGATACATCTACAAAATAAACACAGAATGGAAACTTTTGTCTGGATCTTAAATACATGTATGTGAAAAAACTGTCAAAATAGGTGCAATTTGGGTACCCTCGGCTCACGTTACATGTATATACAGTGACAACAAACATTGACAAGGCAGCAAATTATTGTACTATAAATTCAGAAGAATTGCGATTACTCCGATGAGTATCGCAATAATAATTAACCTCACATTTTTATACGCCCGTTTACGGGACGTATTATGGTATACCGTTGTCCGTCTGTCCGTCAGTCGTCAACATGTCGGACATTAACTCAAAAACGCTTTAACCAATTTGCATAAAACTTTTTGTGAATTGTTTATATCTATTGATGTGAGCTCCCTTTCGTTTTTATAAATTTTAGATTTTATGTTTCCCAGTTATGGGGTTTTATTCATTAAAAAAAGGGGGATTTTCCTGTTTTCGGACAATAACTCAAGAATGCTTTCACCAACTTGCAAGAAATTTTGGTTAATTGTTTATATCTATTGACATCAGCTCCCTTTTGATTTTTATATTAGATTTTACGTTTCCAAGTTACGGGGTTTTATTCATGAAAAAAAGGGGGGATTTTCCAGTTTTCAGACAATAACTCAAAAATGCTATCAGCAGTTTTCATGAAACTTTGATGAATTGTTGATATCTATTGATGTAAGCTCCCTTTAGAATTTTATGAATTTTAGATTTTACATTTCCGAGTTATGGGGTTTTATTCATTAAAAAAGGGGGGATTTTCCAGTTTTCAGACGATAACTCAAAAATGCTTTCATCAATTCTTATGAAACTTTGGTGAATTGTTTATATCTATTGATGTAAGCTCCCTTTAGAATTTTATAAATTTTATTTGTTTATAGTCTGACAACAGATTTACTAAGTATTGCGCAACAGCATAGTGTATTGCACAACAGCCAGAAATCTTTAATTGAATATAAATTCAATTCATATAACCAATTTCAAGTTCTTTGACTACATTTATTCAGAAACCTATAATATGTCAAATATTTAATTACAATCCAAATTCAGACCTGTATCAAGCTTGAATATTGTGTCCATTTTTGCCCCAACTGTTCAGGGTTCGACCTCTGCGGGCGCATCCAGCTGCGATCAGCGAAGCAGTTTATTGTCCCTCCTTTCAAAAATCACAATAATATTAAATGCACACAATGATTTAGAAATTTTCAAAATAAAGCCAGCAGTCATTATACGCCTGTCTTTAATGGGGCATCTAAGCTACGAGATATAAAAAAAAATTAAAATATGATTATTTTTTTTTCAATATTTAATGAAAGTGCAATAGTGAAATAATAATTCACATTTAGCACCCAGTTTGGTTCAATTTTGTCGAAATAAGCTAATAAACATCTCTGGTGAATCATTCAGTCAATAACTCAAAAACTCTTTCACCAATTTTCATGAAACTTTGGTGAATTGTTTATATTTATTGACAAAAGTTTCCTTTCCATTTTTTTTAATTCTTGATTACTCGCCTTTGAGTATTGGGACTTTATTCATAAGAAAAGATTTTTTTTAGTCCCCTATCGACGAAGTCGAAGGGGACTTTAGGTTTGCACTCCGTCCGTCTGTCCGTCTGTCCATCCGTCAGTCCGGCAAATCAGCTTTCCACATTTTTTTTCTTCGTTCTTGAAGATATTGATTTGATATTTGGTATATAGTTTTATCATGACAAGTTATAGATCAAGTTCGAATTTTGTTCCGGTCTGATTATTTAGTCTAGAGTTATGGACCATAACTCTGGACTATATCTAATGTTAGAGTACTATGTTAAACCAATTATTTCTGTACAAAGGGAAATAACTCATTTTTTTAAAGACATTCTTTGTTAAATTATTTGAAGAATTTTTTGGCAGATTTGTTTGTTATGATAAACTAAATTTCTGAATGCTATATATATATAAAAAAAAAATATGAAGAGAAATCCTTTAATTACTTTGTGTAGATAAAAGTTGTTGACATTTTATAGATAAGTGACAATTCTATATTAGTTTGTGACAAATGAAAGAAAAATATTTGGAACTATTAATTATATTTGATTATAATTTGAAAATAGATATACACTGTATTACATCATTTCTAATTTTAGAGAACTATTAATCATATCTAATCTTTTTTTCATTCATATATCAGTTTTCCACACCGTTTTTAGTCATGCTTGAAGATATTGACATGATATTTACTTTTTGTTTACACCATAACAAGTTATAGAAAAAGTTAGCATTTTGTTCCAGTAAAATGAATTTTTACCCGGTAGGGGACTAAGTATTGCCATGCAATACTCTCAGAATGCTGTTTTCTTCAGTTTTCGGACAATGACTCAAAAATGCTTTAACAAGTTTTCATGAAACTTTGGTGAAATGTAACATAAGCTCCCATACAATTTTTATATATTTAAGATTTTACTTTTTCGAGTGATGGGATTTTATTCTTAAAAATTATTCATGATTTGTGCTGGTGTGTGCATGTTTTTTGTGTGCTTTTTTTTTGGGGGGGGGGGGGGGGGGGGGGGGGGGCTATTTTGAGCAGTATTTCTAGTTTATCATAAAGATTAATTTAAGGCATAAAGACAAGCTAAAGGACAACAGGCATATCATGTGCTCATGGCGCAGCTCTTTATTTTAAATATGATGAAGCAATTCTTCTAGAAATCAAAGAAAAAATGGGCATTATTTCTATGAAGGAAATCCAGATATCAATTTGGGGTTGGGTGGCAGACGTAATTTCTTTATTATGTTTATTTGATATGTTATATTTATTTATGTATCGTGTATGATTCATTGTAATTAATCTGCTCCTTATTTTAAAAAAAGTATCTGTATTTGTATTAAAAAAATACTTTCTCTTATTTTTAGCTGACCTGTCAAATATAAGAAACAGAGTGCTATTCCAGCTTTGATGAACTATAAAGTAATGGTTTGAATTTGAAAAGCTTTATTTATATTAGACAGGTAAATTGTTGTCCTTTTCTTTTTGCTCGCTATTAAAACTGGTTATCCCTTGTTTTTATATATCAAATCAATCTGCACCAAAGATGTGGTATGACTGCAATGAGAAAACTATCCAACAGAGACCAAATGATGTAGATGAAAGCATCTATATATAGGTTGCTTTGGGGTCCTCAACAACAGTCACTCAGGTGTCACAGTACAACATAAGAACAAACTGTAAAAATTATTAAAATAGGCTTGACAATTAAGTTGTCAGATCAACACATACATGTTGCACAAAAAAAGGCACAAAGTATACTTGCAGTTACTGAAAGCTAGTTCAACGCTAATTACAACTTTTAGAAAGGGCAAGTTTCTAAGACAAAAACACTATACAAATGCAGGTGTTCAGATAATCTGACTGAAGCTATAAAGCTATATTATATATATATAGTAATATATATATATTCTACTGGTATCCTGCTTCTGTTGCTTGGAGTTGGAAACATGTCATCAAATTACTAAAAAAATCTATTTTACAGCTCAATTTTGTGTCCTCTTTACAGTCCACATTAAAGCAAATGTTATGAACAAAATGACGAATAGGAGAAAAGATATGCAAGCCTTGCTTTTCTTCCTCTTTTATAATTTGTGCAAATAAATTTCTGTTGTCGTACAATGTAAGAATATTGTATGGTGTAAATTCAGAAATTATTGTAATGTTTTTTTAAGGCAACTTTATGAGTATTGCAATAATAAGAAGTCACATTCTGGTATCCAATACATATAACTGTCATGACTGTAACTGTATTTTTCTGAAATCACAATAATTAATCTCGCATTTTCGTCCATTCTTCAAAAATTGGAATAATAAATGCACATAATAATTTCTGAATTTAATAACGTACATTTATATTTACCAGCAATAAACTTTATTAGGGCCCCGCCGAATGGCTGGTCGCCCTATAGTTTTCAGTCTGTCCGTCCGTCCATCCGTAACAAATTGTGTCCGCTCTATATCTAGAGAACTTCTAGAGAACCGTTATGATTTCATTCTTTATACTTGACATGTATATTAACCAACACCAGAGGGTGTGTCATAATGTTTGTACAACTTCCTAGGTCAAAGGTCAAGGTAAAAAAACTTTGGTTTCAGATGACAACCACATGTCCTATGGTAAAGATACAAATTTTTTACCATACATTATTCACAGCGGGACCCACAGAGATAGCTCCCATCACAATGATGTCTAGTTTACACATATATTATTAAAAAATGTACTAAGCTTGATTGCTAAAAGTTCTTAGCTGTGGTTTTAGTGTATTACTAATATTGATATTGCAGTATAGCACCCTGCCTTATTCATGTCATAATTTACATTTGGGAAAGGAGATACAAAACGATGTAGTTAAACATAATATGGGCATTATGTTTTTCGGTCTGTGCATCCGTTCTTTCGTCCGTCATTCTGTCACGCTTCATATTTAAGTTTTTGGTTAAAGTTTTTGGTCAAGGTAGTTTATGCTGAAGTTGAAGTCCAATCAACTTGAAACTCAGTACATATGTTCCCTATGATATGATCTTTCTTATTTGAATGCCTAATTAAAGTTAAAGACCCCAATTTCAAGAACAAAGAAAATAATAGTGTGAGTGGGGCATCCATGTACTATGGACAGATTCTTGTTTAATTTATTACATAATACATCTTATAGGCTGCCTATAAGATGTGTTATGTGTTAAATTTTAAAATTAAATAAAAGTAGTGCACCTTATTAAACTTGAACTTTTGATCACTTTTCGCATGTTAAAAATGTCATTTAATATAATTATTATATATATGCATTTTCATATTTCAGGGATGATGACCTGCAGTGAGACAGCAGTAGAAAGTTACATATAACTCATCATGACCATTATGGAAGATCAGATCAGATGAAAATTATGTTTAGAAAGCCACCAAATATGTCTATGAAAAGTAGAAAAAAGGCAGCAATTCTATGTAAAGTACTTAGCAGAAGCATTGCCTGTTCCAATTCCAATGTCAGAGTTGGAATTTAGTGTTTTGATGCTGAGAGATAGAGGAACATTAACTGGACAATTTAGTTTCTTTTTCATGTGTCATTGAAGTTGATGTTTACCATCTTAAAAAGCTTTTACCACAGTTAAAATGAATTCTAAATACAGGCAGTCTGGAGATTTGTGAATTTTCTAACAATTGGAGTTTCAAAATGGATTTCATTTAAAAAAAATTATTTATTTCACAGATGAAATTTGTCGTCTCTTTCATGAAATATTTGAAGAATCAGCAATATATGTTTAGCAATACCTAACCAAATGAGAGATCTACAGATAGACATATGAATTTCAGTTGAACTGTGAAGAAGGAAATATTCATTTAGAAGACTAATATATATAAGTGTTTTGTTATTTTTATGGCAATAACGGGAAAGATGAAGCAATTCGATTTAAACATGACTCATACTTTAATACAGATATACATGAGATATAGGCATACAATTTACTGATGCACCACTAATGGATATACATGTAATTATAAAACTAAGAAGATGTGGTACGATTGCCAATGAAACAACTCTCCACCAGATAACAAATAGTCATATTTTATAACGACTTACATTTCAATTTCATTTCATAACACAGCATACAGGTATACAAAAAGTTCAAACACATAGAAAAAGTGTTTTTATTGCAATTGTTGTTGTTCATCTTATGGTCACATTGAGATGGGCCTTCAATACTGAGCAAGACCACTTGAACAGCCACAGAATGTTTGAAAAAAGAAATCTGGAAATTTTCTTTGCTTGTATATATATCATGTAGCTGCCATTATGTACATGTACATACATGTATCTAGTTTTGTCTATATACTTGGAAATCAGAAAATTTTGCAATGTTTTCATTTCTTATCTAAATTGAAATTGGTTATACGTTTTGCAAAAAAATCATGTAAATTTATTCAAATGATGGTATTATTTGTATCCAGCATTTTCTGAAACTGCAATAATTAATCTCGCATTTTTTGTTCTGGCATTGTTCAATAATTATAATTATCATGATTATCTTGATAATAAATTTACCCAAAAGTTTCTGAGTTTACAATAGTTATCAGGTTATATCTTTTTGAAGGATACCTAACTTAGAAACTTGTGAAGGAATAATTTCATAGTATTAGAGATTCTTATATCTAGTCTGTTTAGCAAAATATGTTGGGTATACATGTATGGCCATTAGACAGCATCCCCAACACTGACAGAAATTGTTTTTTCTAACTTTGAAATTGCGTACATGTTTGGTAATACAGCTAGAATTTAATATAAAATAAGAAGATGTGGTATAATTGCCAATGAAGTTTTGATTAACAATTACATGAATTAAGTCATTTTACTTTTTGTGATTGGGTCAGGTTAAGATTACCCACTGATTGTACCCTTGTCAATGATATTTGTAGGCAGTACTAGTATGTAGTTTTATTAGCACTTACATATTTTCATTTCCATGCTGACTATTTTTCCCTGTCACCTATGTTATGATTCATTCACTTGAAACTTTTGGATTGTTTACATGTATATGTAAAAATTGTGATTCAGTCAGTCATTTCTGTATATTTATATTTTATTATATATATATATATATATACACCGGTACATAGAATTTATTAGTCCCCTACCGCACTCTGTTGTCCATCCGTCAGTCCGGCAAATCAGTTTTCCACACTTTTTTTCTTCGTGCTTTCTGATATTGATTTGATATTTGGTATATTGTTTTATCATGACAAGTTACAGATCAAGTTCAAATTTTGTTCCGGTCTGATAATTTTGTGCAGAGTTATGGTCCTTGGACTTAGAAAATTTACTCAAATATTCAGTTTTCCGCACTTTTTTTCGTCATGCTTGAAGATATTGATTTAATATTTGTTATATAGTTTACACCATGACAAGTTATAGATCAGGTTAGCATTTTGTTCCAGTACAATTAATTTTTAACCGGTAGGGGACTTGTGTATTGCTATGTATTGCCATGCAATACTTTCGGAATGCTTGTTTTATTTTGACAGAAAAAAAATTTAATTACCATAGCTACCAATCAGTTGCTTCCAATTTCAGCAGGTCTTGGGAAATATGTTTTCTGATTTTAACATGTTTTACGATGAACCTTAAAATTATACATGTATGGCACTTTATCATGTAAAAACAATTGATTGCTTGTGTTGGATGTCAGTTAGCACTTCTGGCTATTTCTTCGGTGGCTGTCCATTTTTATTGTTGGCACTCGGGTAGGGAGAAACTTAACATGTAAGGAGCGGCTGAAAAAAATAGATCACTATTTGCAGCTTCATGGTATACTTTAATGTTTAGAATTTAAGATGATATATATGACAAGGTTGCTGATTGAAGCATAGGTACATGTATCTGAAACTAATCCAATCTGGGTTTTTTTTCACAGATGCGATTAAAATTAGTCGTAAATGCATTCGATATTTGTCAAATCTGTTAATCGCTCCATGATATAGTGTAAGCATAAAGCATGAGAGATGAAGGTATATTTTTAAGGATGGGTTACTCGATGTCTCGGCTGCTAATCCATACCCTAAAAAGGTAGTAAGTGTTAATATTAAAAGTTACTCATTCTAGGAAAAGGGAATTGTATCCCCCATGTTAATGCTGTTGTGTGCTTTTGAATATTCCAAACAAAAATAAGTAAGGAGGGCAGAATGATTTTACCAAGTAAAAATGTTGAAATAAGAAAAATATTGCTTCAGATGGGATGAAAAGGAATCTTCTGTCCAACAAAATGCAGAAAATCATTAGGGACAAAATCAAAAAGTGCAAGCTGTACATAATACTGGCTTGGTAACTGCTTGGTAGAAATGAATATTCAGAGGCAAAAAATCACAAGAAATTCAAAAAGAACTCCCAATCATGATTTGCAAATTGATACCAGTTCTCACTTGAGACATTCAACAAGTAAAATCTGAATATTTATATGTAGGTAGGAAGTTTATATTTATAATTTATTTACACATTATCAATGACGAAGAGCAAACAAGTGAATTCATGAATTTTGGTGAGTTCTTTGTGTAAATGCAACTTTTTTTTAATAATATGTTAATTATATAATGATTTACAATATATACAAATTTGATGTACTAGGAGAGACCTTAGGTATGGTTTTAATTTGTATAATGAACTTGCATTTGCAAAATGAGAACTACACTAGGACCCCTGATCAGATGTGGATTCCGGATTTTGAAAAAAGTGGGGACTCCGGGTCCCCCAACACTAAGGGACGTTCGGAGTGGGACATGTAAAAAGTGTATGCATGAACCATATAATAGTTGATCCACAAGGGGGCCCGAGCTCACCTAATCCGCCTCTGCCATTTGCGATGATACACCAGAGGTTCGAACATGAAAATACTTGGCAATTTATACATTGGTATACAAAATTTGTGGAACACATACTGTGTAGGAGGGGTAGTGCTAGGATATTTATTTTATTATTTTTGTGCGCCAACCAGTTCTCGGGTAATTGTTATCTCTGTTATCTAGCTTGTACGACCTCGTATATATATTTGCATCTTCCAAGAAAACTGGAAAACTTGGGCATATCTTCAAATATTTTATTTTTATAGAAATTAATTGCAAATTATAAAGAAAAAAACGAATGTTTCATCGATGGTAATAATAAAATTTTATACTCCCAACTTCCCCGTTTCCGGGTTGTTGGTCCGTCTTATTCTGTCTTTGCTTCTCTCTACTTTTGTGCGTTTGTATTTTATCTCGGAAACTAAAAACAATCAACAACTATTTTGTATACGAAAAGTGCAGGTTGAAGATCAATGAGTACCTCTTAATTTCAGACATGTATAGATTCAGCAGATGTTGCAGTTTATAAAAAGTGCTGTTACAAATCAAAATAGTTGTGGATCATTTGTCTAGCGCCATCGGGAGGGTATTATTTTGCCTTTTTATGCCTTTTTATTCGTAAAGTTGATCGATTTTCAATTTAAAGGTAAATATTGAACTTGTAACAGCAGTTTTTATATGAAGTGTACCTAGTAGTGTCTAGAATTCCTTGGTTGGCGATTGTACGTGGTTATCTTCAACCTGCACTTTTCACTTTTGTGATCGCTAAGGTTGTTTTTGGATTAGTGGTCACGTGACTACTTTCACTTTACTGCAAGACCTTACAATGTAATAAAACTGTTTACATGTATGTTTTTTTGGAAATAAAGACATTGGCATATACTTTTAACCAAGTTATAGGTGATAACAAGCGTGTTTTTTGCAGATACAAATTATGGCCAAAATTAATTGATTTTTCTTCAATGTGCCTTAACCTCGCTGCGAAGAAGAACTATGAACAGCAGCCCGTTTAAGCCAATCTGATCCAAAGGGCAAATGTGATCTATTGGCTTCGCTGGGCTTCGTCGTCTGTTATCGATCGTTAACAGCTAATAACGCATTTCCTATGTTGTACTTTAAATAAGCCTCAAGCAATTGGTAAGAAACAGACGTCTCATTTCTATTAAATGATTAATGAATTTCTGTAGTCGCACTATCTGGGGCGTAAATGAATAGTAGACTAATGTAGGGTTCTGGATAGTTTTATTATAATGAAGCATCGAACGAAACCCTGTAATATAATATCACATTTAATAACAACATATATAAACTTATTATTTTAAAACATGTATTATATCAATCTGATAAATTTACGTAATGTGTGTACTTACAAAAATTAACCAATTAACTGTAAAATACGTCACAGTTTAAGAAATTAACAAAATGTACAATTAAACCTTATCTAATCAAAATATTACTTCCTAGGACATTCGAAACAGAATTTAACTTGTCAAAAGAGCATAATAGAAATATAGTTTCTCATTTAGCAATAACATTATAACATACGAATAAGCCGATAAAACTATAAACAAACAGTTTAAGCAAGATATGCATTAGTAAAGCAAATAGCGAAAAGCAGTTAAC